AGGGGGAGTGGGGGAGGGGTCTCAGAAGCCCCGCCTCGCCCAACAGGAGATGCGACATTTAGTGCTACTGAGTCTTCGTATGAGACGTGTCCTTCAGGCCGCCTTGGTTCAGTGTCCCTTTATGACAATCCCCTTTCCGGTCCATCTACTGGCTGGAGACAATTAAAAGGTCGTTCGTTTTGTCCATAAAACAGGGCTTGGCCCTCACTCTGAACTGAACGGACGTTTTTCAATCAATCCTCACACACAGATGTTCCTAGTTCGTTGAGTGGGAGACTCGCCTGCGGTTCAGATCATTCCGTGAAGCACATCGCTTTTCCTGACCATAAGCTCGTCTCACATGAGAATGGAGGTTACGTATTAAGTCGAGCTGGTGTTCTGTTAGGTTAGAATGCCCTGGGGACACGCAGAGGGAAGTGGCCGGAGCGAAGGGAGAGTCCAGGTCGGGTCATCTGATGACTGAGCTCCGACACCTACAGGGTCCGGGGGGCCGGCCTGGGAGGAAGTGAGGGGGCAGGTGCCCCAGGGCGGGAGGAGGGCAGCTAATGACACGTCCGGTTAGAGCCAGAGAGAATGTGCCCACACTGCTAACACACGCAGCTCTAACGCCTCCGTAGCTAAGGCTTCTGCTCTACTCCACCACCTAACCATACAGTGGCCCAGCTTGCACAGCATCGCGTACCGAGTCTGGAATGGGGGAGGGGGGGAATTGCAGTACTTTATGGTTAATTAACCTTGTTGATTGGGTTTTTTTAAAAGTGTGATGATATGCAGGTTGGTGCCTTCCCTTGGGAATCCCTCAGCTTGATAAAGATCTCACGAGTGACAAGGAATTCATCCGTGACAGCATCACGAGGTAGTACCGCCACGTGCCTCAGGGAGGCGCTGTGCTCCCAGGCCTAATGGCCGTGCTCTCCTCTAGCCCAAGACCAGGCTCACATGGCACATCTACGGCGGCTGCTGCTATTCAGAGAACGCGCGGCGCGATTCATTAGGAAAGTGCGCGCCCTCTTCTGTGTCAGCAGCAGCGGGAGTGACGGCGGGCTGTCCTGTGGACAGAGCTTGGGCGCCAAGCAAATGCTTGCACCGTCGCCTCATCTTCCCACCCCGGGAACCGCTTCCCCAGGGAGCCTGCAGCTGGAGGAGCAGCACTGGGCTCCCCTGGATGCGAGAACAGCGGGTTTTCCCCCCTGTAACTCCCAAGGTAACACTCGAGCAGCAGAGAAGGGATCGAGAACGGACGAGGGCCCGTCTGTCTGTCCGTCTCCAGTGAGCGTTCCCTCACATACGTCCCGGGCGTCTTTCCGCGTCAGTGTACAGCCCTCGTGGCCGTAATGAAGTCCCCGGAATGAAATCACTGCTTTCTGCTTCGTCTAACACACCACACGATCGCGTGTTGAGGCGATTCCTTCGTGACAGATGTGTGTGCCCTGTTGGAGGTTACTCTCATCTCAACTATTAGAAGCTCCCGTCAGACTCTCCTGAGCAGGCAGAGGACGGCTCTGACCCATGTCTGTTACAGATGCTGAGGACGCCCTGGCCGGGCGGCTCGGCTGGTTGGAGTTCCGCCCCCTGCACCCCAAGGTTGCGGGTTTGCTCTCGGTCAGGGCAGGAAGGGAGGCAGCCAACTGATGTTTCTCTCCCCCGCCCCTTCCCCGCCCCTTCCCTTCTCTCTAAAAATCAATAAAAACATATTCTTGGGTGAGGATTTTTAAAAATTCTAAAGATAGAATTGCTCTTATGGGATAGGTCAGTGGTCGGCAAACCATGGCTCTTTGGCCCCTCGAGTGTCGCTCTTCCACAAAATACCACGTGCGGGCGCACACGTTCAGTGCGATTGAAACTTCGTGGCCCATGCGCAGAAGTCGATTTTCGGAACGGAGGTAGACGAAACAAGTATACAAGACGAGTGTGGATGGGAGAGTTGGAAGGGGTCGGCCTCAGCGAACGTACCTCAATCAGATTGAGGACGTTTTTAGCAAAGGCCAGCTTAGGAGTACCCTAATTAAGTTAATAACAATGTACCTACCTATATAGTTCAAGTTAAAAAAAATTTGGCTCTCAAAAGAAATTTCAATCGTTGTCCTGTTGATATTTGGCTCTGTTGACTAATGAGTTTGCCGACCACTGGGATAGGTTAACATGGCCCTGATCTGAAGGGGGAGGATTTGTTTGTGTCCTCCTTCTGTACGAAATGGCTAAGCAGAAAAAAATAAAATAAAATAAAGATAGAATTGCCGGATGAAAGAGTTTTGCCAAATTGTCCGAATCTACCCATCACAGCTCCCACGGCAAACACCGAGGGCCTCTCTTACCCCCCACACGTCTGAAGCCTTTGCCATTTGCTCACTACCCCCCCTTCCCTCCCCTCTCTGCGTCTGTAGTATATACTTTTCGTTGCTCTTTGGTGGCTTCTAGTTACTCTGACTTACAATTTTCTTGGTGACGCAGTTTGATGGATTCTTTGAATGAGTGTTACCTTCCTCTCTCCCCGTTTTGAACCTCTCCACGCAGCGAGGACATGAATGCCACACCTGTGTCCTCACTGCACCCCCGCTGGGCACTGTCTCGTTGGTGCTCACTCGGCTCTAACACACGCCCGTGGTTCCCTTTGGTTTTGCCCTTCAGGGGTCCTGGCCTTTCTCCTGATTTCTCAGCACAGCCCCGCGAAGGCCACCCGGCGTCTCCTTGGAAAGCAGCCCGCAGCTCACCTTGCCTCTCGAGCTTGAATTTCCCGAAGTCTTCCCCACGGACGTCCCCTTGGAAGGTGAACCCTCCTCTCTCGAGCCCCGAGGAGACCTGGTGGGGGGACAGGAGGGAGAGGCACAGCGGGGACTGAGGGCCCCTGTTCCCCCCATTCGGCTGCTGTGCTCTCATTCAGGGGTCACAGGCCTTCATGTTTGCCGCTCCTCACAGTGGCACTTTCCTAGTCACCCTCTCACACATTCGGCTGTGAGTTCAGCTAACAGACACGTTCCGCTCCCTGTGGCCTCCCACGGGGTGGTAACTTTACAACCTGTTCCTCGGCCAGCCACCCCCATGCAGGGGACAGACATCGGGTTCCCACAGAGCCCCGGGGCCTGACACTGGCTTCCTGCCATGACCGAGGGCTGATGAGCAGCGGGCGAGGCTGCGTGCCCGTCAGGCGGTGAATCAGAGCACAGCTGTTAACTTGCAGAGAAGCTATGGAGCATCCCTGCTCGCCTGGGAGCGGCATTGCTAGGACGTTCCGAGTGGCCGCCAAAGGCCTCGGAAGGAACCGGTGGCCACTCCCAGGGGCGCGCGGCGGTGGTGAGCACAGGGTCTGGTCCCCGCCATGCGCTGCCCGTCCCCGCAGCCACAGCCCAGTGCTCCGGGCCCAGCAGTTTCTCGTCTGGGGACGCGGTTTCTTGCCCCATAAAGCGAGGCCCGAGGGCCACCGCGCTGATTCCCGTCAGAGGCCTCCAATTACATTAATGTTGGAAACTGAAGCGGATGGGCCGGGTTTTCAGCACAGACCCTCCCGCACGGCTCCTCTCAGACGCGTCCCCTGCCCCGCACCCCTGCGGTCACTGACACTCAGAACCAGCGCCCTGGGCCCCGCCCCCCGCCCCCCACC